ATCAAGAAGGCGAAGCGAACACATGCCAAAGATAATATCCATGACTTATCCGCTCTAGCCAAGATGCAGGGCGACCAAAACCTCGTGTAGAGTTCAATGCCGTGGAGCATCGCACAGCACACGCACTCACGCAGGCATCCCACAATGCTGCGCCACGAAGAGGAGAGCAGCAGACGCAGAATATAGAAAGACCACTGGCCAAGTATAATCAGTGGGTAAACGGAATAATTCCCACCTTCCACCAACCGGGGATTAAACCTCCTCCGCTTCGGGTGCAGAGAAGGCGGTTCTTATCTGCTACCATTTTTCACACGAAAGGACTTTGATGTGCGCACCAAACCGCTTCTGACAGCCATGAACGCAAGTGCAACTTGTCGAAGCTATATCGAGTCGAAGAAGACGATATGGAAAATTCATCTGGTGTTAAAGTTTTGAAACAATACCAATTGTCAGTTGCTTCGGTGGGGTCATGCCCTGCCCTCTTGGACTCTATTTTAGAACCCCAACAGCCTAGCATCTGAGTTTATCATTGACTATATTCGGTTCGTTTCAATGGCCATTTCTTGATTGGGCTAGTATAATGGTAGCTTGTCAGCAAACTCACAACTTTTTATTTTCTACATCTGAAAATGCTTCTCAACCCAGTAAACATTGCACGATACATTGCCAAGGTAGAGAGGATTTACTTCTCCCACGTACTCCGTAGATGCCTATAATAGCATCCAATCTCTACGATGAGTAGATGGAAATCAAGATTCAAGCTGCTAGCTTCCGTCCATCGTTACACCCAAAAACCGGAATCTATATCCCCGTCTATACTATATGACCTAGAGTATAATTAAAGTTGCAGACTTTGGTTCAGTTCTCCTCCTAAAAACATAGCTGGGTATGCAAAGAGGTACGGATATTGCAGCATCGAATTTCCTCTTCTCCAGACATGTATGGGGCTTTGGCAGTAAATCCCATGCCCATCTTGTGGAGCAGTCCTGATACACGTTTACTCCGCTGCCATGGCACGATTATCAAGGCTACCAGGGGGTAAACTTGTCTTTGCCCAACGCCAAACTGGATAGTGTGCCAGTTACTTGGCAGACTGTTTAAACTTCTTGAACAACTTCACAATATCACTGCTGGAACATGTGGGGTTTTATAAGAAGGTACATAGTAGCAGCCAGTAGATAATTCCTGAATCAAACTCTCCGACTCAGATCAGAGCAGAAAAGAATAGAGCCCGATGATAGACCAGAGACAACAGCAAAGTATCCCTCATGTACCTTTGAGGTACTTACTGCTAGATCGATCGTGGATCCTGGACATTATCCCTGTCTTGTCGCGCTGTACCTTGCAGGCCAAACCCACATTCCGTCACCATCCACTAATTAGTTACGAGTACGCGTCTCCCAGTGTGGTCCAAATATGTATGGACGCGTACCTACTGGCAGAGAAGGAGTCAAACAAGCTTTTTTATTATTGTTTATGTTCCCTCCTAAATATCGCCCTACTTGTAAACCCCTATTTCCTTGCAGTCACTGCATATTTTCTTCTCTTCGGAGTATCCTGTTTTACTACGAAAGCTGTGAGGTAAACACTCGTCTTCCGGATGGTCCGGCGGTAGTTTTTGTCCAACGGCGCAGTCAATGACGTATGAACAGACAGAGCCAAACTACTTTAGACAATTTTGGCAGGACGATGAAATGGACATGGGACGAGTTTCGATTTCTGGCCAGCTAAAAGGGCCAGGGTCAGGGATAAGGACCGAGTGTTGGCGTTTTTCCAACGTGCCACGAAACCACTCCTATTTTAGTGAGCGAGGCTCAGCGCTGAGCCCAATGAGGCTACGCTGTAAAAATACGCTTCCATGCCCCGGGATAGACCGTTCAAGCTACCGTCCTTAGGCGTTGCTTGATCCGCTTTGGTCCGGCCAGTCACGTTGCTTTCTCTCTTTCACATCGTCGATCTGCCGACCTTGCTCTTTGTATGCTGCCGGCTACCGGTCCTGTAATTGAAGCTATCGACTGGCTGCAGAATACACTGTAGTACGCTTCACTGCTGCTGTATGCACCGAAAGTATACCCCAGACGATGAGCTGGTCAGACCAACATCACATCTACACCGAAACTTGGCAGAGAAGCCATAGTCATAAATATTGGGAACTTAGGCAGTCAATCTTAATCCTTGAAAGGAATGAACCAAAAACTCTCCCTGTGTTGATGGATCCATCCTTTCGGGTTCGGTTCCACCGGAGACCAGGTAGGCTTGGGCCTGTCTATGTCTAGGTCTCGGTCTAGGTGTTCACGAATCCTTCCCATATCTGCCGCTGCTCATTCATATATCACAAATTGGCTTGAAGCTCGACGCATATGTGACATATCTGTTTCTTCCCGCTGTGTCCGCTCCACGGCTGAGCAGATAAAGTGAGGCTGAAATATAAGGACTTTCTGTGCCCAAACCAAGGGCCTTTGAGAGCTCTCCAATCACACGTGGGCTCAACTATGAGTAGCTACAGTTGTTGACGATCCGCTCATCAACATGTGGACAAGCCAGTCAATAAACAGATGGTAATCCGACAAAGGGACCCTACCAGATCTTCCGTCATGATCTTGAATCACCTACGGGTCACCGTTGTTTAGTATGATCTACAAGAGATGGGCAACTATCTTTATCCTCGCTTAGGCATCGCTTAATCGTTTAGTGCTGGAAACACAGATTCCCTTGACACTATTGGTTGGCATCCCACCCATCGACTCGCATTTTTTATGTATCCTCGGCAATAAAATGATGATTATTTCACGCTCGGTCATTTGGTGCAGTGGCTAGTATTCGAGTATGGGTTTTGGCGGGCCTTTATCTCCGCGCAGCATAAGTATGACATTCTCATCCTCTCTTCCGCCCACACAGGTGCACAAGGCTGAACTTCGTCGAGATTGGCTTTCCAGGATAACATTGATCATCCCGTCTAAGCTGAAAACAAAAACAAAAAACGGTCGCGGCCTGAACGGTGTTACGCTGGACCCAGTAGTTAGTTAAGTGAAATGGAGGCGCATGCTAAATTTGACATCACAGGGGGATCTTCAACCCAGGTACCCAAGCGGGTCCCTCCATGGGATTTCTAGAATATTGCATGTGCTTGTCAGGCGTCAGCACATCATGTTCTGGAGGACCGTACGGAGTCATAATCCGTAACTCATCACCCGCTTATAACACAGTTCAGTACATAGGCGCCTACGGATACTCCGGCGCTGATCATGCATGCATTGGTTACTTTCCACGTATCCCTGCGACAACGGGATACTAACCCGCCATGTGTTCTGATGTCTAATTAGGACACCATGATAGAACAAGTAGTTTAATGAGACGTGCAGAGATCGACATGTCCAGGAATCGTACGGAGTAGAGTTAGGAGAGAGGGTGTCCATTTCATAACTAATGGCACTGGCTACATACAAAGTAAACACGGTAAACATAAAATCGTTTCATATACTGTCGATCTGCTCACGTTCAAGTGATTTTCATAAGGTCATTGTCCTATACCAGATTGTGACTGACTACTATATACATTACAATTTCGACACTGGGTTGAAATAACGACTTTCTATCCCGGTTGTACAATTAGTCGCGCTTGAAATGATTGGGTTGCTTAATACAGAGCCGTGGTAACACGAGCATTCACTTTTGTACAGGGTAGGCAGAACCTGATTGATGGTGGTCAATAGAGAGACATTCGAGACGATTTGTTCTACTGTAGCAAGACCTAAAATAAGATAATATATAGGAGTCAATCTTGTCCATACCTGTTTGAGCACATCCTCAATGTTTACTTCATGTGAGCTGTATCTCTCAAGAAGTCTCTGCTAAGCATTTGCGAGACATGTTCACGGTCATTAGTCAATATTGATCACCATACCATAGAAACCTGAATTTGGCATTCCGAGAGACACTTAATTTATGTTTTCATTCTTCAGCAGAGATATTCAACTATGACGAAACGAAACTGCCCAGCATGTGGGTCATGTAGTAGTATTGAGCAGTTATTAAAGACCCAAGTCCAGTTAGCCACAGAGAAGAAAGGAATGAACGGTATGCATTATCAGTACATGCAGAGGATAGTCGGAGCGCAACTGTGAGAATGGACATGTATAGAACACCGGAACTTGACTGTTGTACAAAGTTCGAATGCTTGGAGGCCCGCCTGTACATATCTTCACAACGTGGTAAGCGGCCAGCTGCATACCCGACGATGCATATAACAGGTGTACTGCCGCGTTCCGAAATCTGATGCAGGAGGATTAACTTCTCATGGTTTAATCAAGGCTGAGGAAGACCGGAGTTGTCTAGGATAGGAGCATATTCGGAAGGAACAGGAGTTCACCAGAAAAACTTGTCAACCTTGATATCAGGTTGGTTTTGCATTTTGCTATGGGACCCGTGACATCAAATAACCACTAAGTCAAGTACATACATGAACTATAGGTTGCAGCAATAAATGTAGGCCGAGACTGATAACTACCGACATAGACTGAGCACCCTGAGGGTCCACACCGTTTTGAGTCTGCAATTGCTGTAACACAGCTCAATCCTGCTGTGATATATGCAGAAGAAAGTCACTAGAGAGTGAAAGCAGCTGCCCGAGGCGTGGCTGTCATACAATAAACAAAGCTGTGTTGCAAGTTAGAGCGTATGCTGATGCATTCTGGCGTCAATCACATATTGGTGAATGTTCGTTTTGGCAACCTGGGGCCAATGCTCGAGTCTTTTGCGCGGAATAGACGAAGGTGCTCTCATCTCACTACCATACCCGAAGCTAGGTGACCATCAGACTGGTCTACAAGAGTGTACTGTATAGTATGTTTGATTGTATGTAAATGTGACATTTGTATACCAAGTGGAAGTTCCTATAGCAGAGCGATGTGAATTACACGATAGGAGTAGGCTTGAAATGCAAGAGTGCTTCTACAGGCTCGGTTCTTCCCACAGACCTCCCTGTAGCTATCAAACTTTTGCTAGTTTTCCTCTGGAATTGTTGATAGAGCAATGATGCTGAACTCGAGGTTACCATCGGCAACCTTGGTGTACCTCTTGACAGTTGCTTCAAGCGCCTGTTCGCTAAGGAGGTCATTTCCTTCATCCAAGATACCGCAATCAACTGGTTCGCCCCAACCTCCCTCTAGGTCGTAGAGATGACCGTCTGAACCTTTGACGAAGCTGATAAAATGATACCCGACAGGTTCTTGGCTCGTAGGTGCTGCAGAATCCCCTGTCATAGCTGCATCCATATGGGCCTTTTCCAGTTCAACGGAATTGTAGAGGAAGTCGGCACGTGCAAGGGGCTTAAGGTCCTGTGTCTCCTTGATGATCTCGTCTAGGAGCGAGTCTGGGTTGATAAAATCCTTGGCCGTACCGTTGCTTACACTGTGTAGGAGAGCGATGAGGCCGCAGGCGTGTCCGATAGTCTGTCTATACCACATGACGGGTTCATCTGGACCAGAGCCATCGTATGTTAACTCTTTTGAACCAGGATCACTTTCCCGAACGCGAGCCCACATAGGCGCAGGAGTGATAAAGATGAGGGCGTGGACGGGGTGAGGAATCATGGCCAGCAACTCAGGCTCGTCAACGCTGTAGACATCGTAGAAACCGAGCTTCTTGGAGATGCCTAGGTTATGAATGAGCTTGGTGAACACTTCTGGGTTGTTCTCGAGCGGGATGAATGTTTTCGTTCCGTCCTTTCGGAAAGTTACTCCTGGAGTGGTCGACATGATGATGGTTGACAATGTTCAAATCAGAGTAATAAGCGGTGGGATGTTCCTTTACCCCGCGCTTGTTGTTCATTGATCCTCAAGAACTCTGCTGGTTGGAGTTAAAGGCAACGACACAGAGTAGGTCTTCGTCGTGTTAGTCATGTTAGGCAGGCAACACTTGTTGCGTCACCTTCATACCTGCAAACCTACAACTATAAGGGCGTATGCCTGTAGACACGGATTCCTATCAAACTGGCTGCTACCTCTGCGAAATAAACGAACGTGCTGCAATCAACAAAGCCTACGGAGATTAACATGCCAAAAGTACCGAATGATGTTTGAATTGAGCAACCGGATTGTTCCTGAAACGAAGTGACTATTATTATCCTACAAAGCAAATTATGCAAGCCGCGTTTAATAAACTTCACCATACCTTTGTGAAACTCACGTTTTCTATTTAAACCTTTGGCTACTGACGACTTCATAATGCTGCTAGCAACATGGCATAGCGTCTCATCGACGTTACCTTTGGCTGTATTTGTTGCCAATTCTTACCGACTTGGAGGCCCTCGGGCATAAGGCACAAGAGAAATCCATATTTGTGACCAGGAGGACTCACATTATTATTGACAATGGTGATAAATAGAGCTATACTTTGAAGAGTTATCTCAAAGTAGTAGATCGCCCATATAACCACACGTAAAAGGTTGTACCGGTGAAACAGCCACTGTTTTTGAAGAGTCGTTGTCTTTGAGTGTTAGCCACTTACACGAATGACCTGACGCACTAACTACACTGTCATCCAGTTAGGACCAGGAACCAGTATTTAGGTAGTCCAATACTCTGTAGTAGTATTGCAATTATAAGCCCGAGGCCGCAGTAAACTGAACATATCTTACGAAACTTGCCGATCGCCCGTTGACAATTATGAAGATCATGTTTGACATTTTGGCAGAAATTTCATGGCTATGAGTGGGTTGGCCAAAGGTTCCAACACCTTTTGGTGACAATGTGAGCCGAGCTGAACAAAAGTTCGCCACGTGATGAAGATTGGCTGGAGACAAATGGAACCATCTTGTTTGACGAAGGACCTTTTGCTAACAAGTTGGATGAGTTTTCCATATTGATTAAGTGGGACGATCAAACCAAGACATTCTCATTCTCGTTCCCTTTCTTGCTCTATCTAGGTAGGCAAGATAATTATTTTTATCAGTGCAAGCTCTGACAAAACATCAGTCAAGAACGGCAGCGAGATTCAGCCTGCCTTTACCTAGTAGGTAGCCACCCCTAGTCTGTGTTCCAGAAGCGTGCTGAATTGGTCCCAAACCCGACACTATGGTGAGGAGGCAAGTTCTCAGCGCTGTTGTTAGTCCGATAGTTGACTGGACCCTGAATTGATCGAGAATCATTCAGCAGGTGATTCTTGCTTCTCTCTTTCAGCATGATATATAGCCGGGTGTGCCGTTTATGTGGACAAAAGTGCCAGGCTGGGGTTGAGTGCTTTAAAACTAACACACACCAGCAAGTAAATTTTCACTGACCTGACGGTTATCTTATGGGCCGAGGCTAATACTAGAGGGGCTGGAGATAAGCCGTGTGTTCTGAAGGGTTGAGCACCCATCTGAGCCTGGGTCTATTGGATGAATTAAGATCCCTCAAATGGCGTGCCAACGTTTGGATGTGACCTTGGAGGGACATGACTGGGCTGGGCTGGACTGGTAGCCTGGGCATACTGGGCTTTCGTCAAGATGCGTTATCTTGAGAGGAGATAGGCGTTGGATGGCTTCTTGGTCTTCAAATTGAAGCGTTTGGATGCTCGAAATATCTCCCATTTTCCGACCCAAAGAATTGACCAAACAGAATACGTGAACAAGACTCCAGCTGTGTTTTCAACAAAAGGTCCAAAAAATTCGACATACTGAGAGGCCACAGAAGGACCATCAGAGCTCTGCAGTTGACATGGTCTAAGCTTGTTCTATCCCCAATCAAGAAGGTGGTCTAGATTGAACCATGCCGTTGTCCGCGATAGCCAATGCATAGAGAACAACACTACGGCCCAAGACGTCTAGTGCCGGGTTCTGATGGGAGTGCCAATCTTTTCTTCGCGGGGAGTGACCCTCCTTGTCCCTTGGGGCTGAGAATCCCCCCCAGTTCCAGTCCCAGTCAGTCTCAGTCTGTATAACCACACCCGCAAAGCAGCAGCCGCTGTCGGCATCTTCTTTTGCCTGCTTCAACATCACCTCACGACACCAGAAGATCAAGCCCAGGCTGTTGTTGTCGCTGTCATAGCGGGTTTAAACCCACGCACTGCCGTCGGTTTGCTGTCGCTTTTGCTGTCTGTCCGTTTGCTATCTGCAAAGGATATCCATTAACCACCATGGCGCCCTCTCTCTTTCGCAAGCGCCATGAGGCCGAGGATATTATTCCTATCCCCGGCCCCCTCGAGACTGTCTCCGCCTCCGGTCGCGATTATCTCGAGAACCTTCAGCAATTCGAAAAGTCGCACAAGTTCGATCCCAACTTGCCCATCGACGACCTCACCGATGTGGACGCCGCTATCGCGACAGGAAATGCTGAGAAGGGAATTGAGATTGAGCACGCGCTCATGGAAGACAACAGTCCCTATCCTGAAGTCCGATCTGTCGTCCGAAACTACGATGTTGACGTCCCCGCCAACACCATCCGTGCTTGGGTCATTGGCCTGGTTCTGTGCACTATCGGCTCTGGTGTTAACATGCTCTTCTCGCTGCGAAACCCTAGTGTCACGGTCACTACCTATGTTGTCCAGCTTGTCGCATACCCTTTTGGTCTGGGCTGGGACTTGATCATGCCCGATCGTGAATGGAACTTATTCGGCCTCAAATTCAACCTGAAGCCTGGTAAATTCAACTACAAGGAGCATGTGGTGATTGTCGCCATGTCAAATGTAAGCACAACTTCTTGATATACCTCAGCACTCACTAATTCCGTATCAAGGCTGCCTATGGTGGTGGCGTCCTCTACGCAACCGATGTACTTCTTGCCCAGCAGATTTTCTATGGCCAGGAGTTTGGCTGGGCGTTCCAGATACTGTTCGGCATAACTACTCTTTGTACTGGTTATGGACTGGCTGGCCTTGCCCGTCGTTTCTTAGTGTGGCCAGCTGCCATGATCTGGCCTACTGATCTAGTCAACTGCGCCTTGTTTTACACGCTTCACGACCACTCTGGTTCCGACCCCACCAAAACCAACGGTTGGAAGATGGGACGTTATAGATGGTTCCTGATTGTGGGATGTGGAGGCTTCGTTTGGTACTGGTTCCCCGGCTGGATCTTCAAGGGACTGTCCTACTTCACTTGGGTTTGCTGGATTGCGCCTCACAACGTTACCGTTAACAAGCTCTTCGGTGGCATGACTGGTTATGGCTTGATGCCTACATCCTTCGACTGGACCGTGTACAGCGGCTACCTGCAGTCTCCCTTGATCCCGCCATTCCACGCCGTTGCCAACGTCATCGTGGGTATTGTCGTTTTCTTCATTTGCATATCAATGGGAATTCACTTTACAGGTACATGGTATGCGGATTACTTCCCCGTTCAGTCATCCGAGTCCTACGATAACACAGGCGCCATCTACAATGTCTCAAGGATCCTTGACAGCAACTTCCACTTCAACGAGACAGCGTACAAGGAGTACTCGCCGCTCTTTTTACCGACACAATTCGCTCTTTCGTATGGATTGTCTTTCGCAGCTGTGACGGCTGTCGTCGTGCACGTTGTACTCTACCATGGACACGAAATCTGGAGGCAATTCAAGCTTGCCCGTAACCAGGAGGACGATGTCCACATGCGCCTAATGAAGAAGTACCGAGATGCAGAGGACTGGTGGTATGCTGGTAAGTTTAAATCCTTGATATTTGATCACTAATGAGTGATACTGATCGTAAATAGCTCTGTTCATCGTCATGGTAGCCATCTCGATTGGTGTCATTGCTGGCTGGCCGACTGGTTTTCCAGTCTGGGCCTACTTCATCTGCCTTCTCATCCCCGTGTTGTGGCTCATCCCCATTGGTGTTGTTCAGGCCATCACCAACATTCAGCTCGGTCTCAACGTTTTGACAGAGTTTATCATTGGTTACATGGTTCCTGGCCGTCCCATGGCTATGATGATGTTCAAGAACTACGGCTACATCTGTATGGGCCAGGCACTCTACTTTGCCCAGGACCTCAAGCTCGGTCATTACATGAAGGTCCCTCCTCGTGTTATGTTTTCTTCGCAGCTCGTCGCGTCTATTTGGTCGGCTATTGTACAGATTTGTGTGATGAACTGGGCTCTTGGTCATATCCCCGACGTTTGTGCCATTGACCAACCCAACAACTACACCTGCCCAGGAGGTCGTGTCTTTTACACAGCCTCTGTTATTTGGGGAGCCATCGGCCCAGCCCGTATCTTCAGCCACGGTGCCATTTACTCATCTCTCCAGTGGTTCTGGCTGGTGGGTGCTGTCACGCCTATCATTACATGGCTTCTCGCTCGCAAGTGGCCGCGTTCAATCTGGCGCTATGTCAGCACCCCTCTGATTTATGGAGGTGCTGGTATGCTGCCTCCCGCCTCTGTCTACATTTATCTCTGCTGGGGTATTGTCGGTGCTTTCTTCAACCGCTTTGTCAAGAGGAGATACACTGGCTGGTGGCTGCAGTACAACTACGTCACATCGGCAGCTCTGGACTGTGGTCTCATCATGTCGACTATGGTAATCTTCTTCACACTGTACTTGACGAGTGCATCTCCTCCGAACTGGTGGGGAAATTATGGTGCCATGGAGACAATGGATTGGAAGACGCATGCTATTTCAAAATCGGTGCCTGAAGGAACCATTATTGGGCCTTCAACATGGAACTGAGGTTTTCGACTTTATAAAGAGTGACGGTTATGAATATGTGTTATACGTGCTTGGAAAGCGAGATTTGGCGATTGATGGTTTATCGGCGTTATGGTCTAGGTTGTGTGCTATTTACATAATGATTTTTGGTTACATGTGCGAGATACCTCAATAACGGTTGATGTTTATTGACGTTGATTGACGTTAGAAAAGATTCAGTCTAATGATATAAGGGAACAATTCAATCCAAGAATACCTACGTAGTCTAATCATCCATTCCACTTCAATTCATAACTGTCTATACTTAAATATTGACCAATGAACAGCTTTGTTGATCAATTTGTTTAAATGACCCATATCTGTCCCACCGCTAGAAAGAAGGTGCAACCAGTCGCTCTTGCCCCAGTCACGTGCCTTTCACATCACATGACGATCGAAACTGCCACACCTTCCGTTTCTTAGGGTTGTAAATTCGCACTCCGCCAAAAAAAGGTCTCCCAAATTGAGAATTTCTCGATCGCCATCCAACTAACCGCCCAAACACCACAGCCAAGATGAGTACGTCGCTGCCTGTCAGCTGCTGCTCGCGAAACGACAGCAGATGATCCTCTCGAAAGCAATTCCGCAGTTTTGCTAATGCGTTTCAACAGCGAAGGGTACCTCCAGCTTCGGTAAGCGTCACAACAAGACGCACACCCTGTGCCGACGATGCGGTTAGTTCTTATGCCCTCTGGTCTCTCCCTTCAGGCATCCCTCGATACGCGCAATGGGATACGCGACAAAGAAAGACGACATCGAAAATTAGACGATTGCGAACGTTGAAGAATGTCTGAGCGGAGGGGCTCGAAAATTATTAAAAATGGATCGGAAAACTGATGGAATATCTCTAGGTCGCCGCTCTCTTCACGTCCAGAAGCATGAGTGCTCTTCTTGCGGTTACCCTGCTGCCAAGATCCGCAAGTGTACGTGAACATCTCACAGATATTCGTCGACAATTTCGATATCGAAACAAACACCCAATACTGTTGAACTGCAGTACTGACCTGGCTTTACAGACAACTGGTCCGAGAAGGCTAAGCGAAGAAA